GATTTTCAATAAGCAGCCAACAAGTTTCTGATTGAAGACCTCTAATAATAGAAAACCTACTACCTCCTCAAAACAAAACATTCCACATCTGAACAACTCCATTGTTAGGAAGGCCAATTCAAACTCAAAATATTTGTGAAGGACCCTGTCCACCTTAGAGAAAGGCAGTGTACCACTACAAAGTAATGTCTCCTTTCCTTAAATGTAATGTCTTAATCATGATCAAGATTCTATTTGTTTGACACTGACAAATTTGGACACACCATGTCACACACATCCTGCTAGGAAATCGATGACTGCACATTTTCAAGTTAACAAGCAAATTGCTGCTCCCTCTGCACTTTGTGGGTATGGCATTGTCAGTTTGGATTTTGCCTTGAGAAAAGGTGACCAGCAGCATGGACCAGTGGGTAGCAGAAATAGCATTCATCATTCTCACCAGAACAACAAACCAAAAATAACAAACAAAAAACAAAAAACCAACAACCAAAAACACCTAAGACCCATCCTGCATCTCATCAGGTCAGAATAAAGGTATTCTTTAGAATGCCAGTAAAGGTGTTCTTAATCTTGGTATTAATCTCTGCCTGGTATAACTACTTCTGGAGTATTGTGTTCAGTTCTGGGCACATTCTAGGAAATAAATTGCTGGGGAGTATCCAGAGGAGGGCTACGATGACAAAAAGACTCAAGAGCAAGACATATGACAATGTGTTGAAGAGAATGGGGATGCTTAGGCTTAGTGGGGACATGATAACTATTGAATACATGAAGAATCTGAAAGGTTGTATCACATGAAAGATTAACCTATTCTGCCTGGCCTTGGAGGACAGAACCAAAAACCACCTTTAGAAGTTACCAAGAGGCAAATTTAGGATTAATGTAAAGAAAATGTCTTAACAATTAGAGCTCTCCAAGAGTGTGATGGGTTGCCCTTTTCATCCCTCAATCTATTATCTTATGATCCTAGGTAATGACTTGTGGGTTAGGTCTTATACTCTGTTGGTATTCTATTTACATAGGCACCTCTACTTGCTGCCTGATTGAAGAAGTGAATCCTTAAAAAGCATTACAGCTAAAGCCAAAGAGGTCAATTCTCTGAAGACTCCCAAAATGGCATTACCCAAAGGCCACATTCCCACCAGTCTACCACATTTAGACAAGTTTACTGCATTCTGAACACGTAACCTTGTGCATTAGATCTAGCTATTTAGATTTGTTTTTTCCTTACACTAAGCTATGGGTTCCAAGAGGGGAACAGCCCAAGTACTTGGCATAGTGTTCTGCATCTTCTGTTATACTGTGCTGTGTTGTATTATACTACATTGCATTGTATTGTATATGGTTGTGTTACATTGTATTGGAGTATGAGTCTCTCTCCTGTTAAGATTAATATTTAAATGATGGAAAACCACAGAGTTTGAGAGGAAGTTCCCATGAAGCCTTCCTTCCACTTTAGAAAGAAGAAATGCCCAAAGTTGCACATTACTCTGATCTAGCCTTTTCTCATTGAAAAAAAAGATAACCGTCTCTACAGCCATGGCCAAACCATGATCTCTAAGCCCTTGGATTAGATAGGCAGGAAGGAGCACAAAATGAGGCCTTCTCCAAAGGACAGCCATTTATTTCTCAATGAACAAAGGCCAAGGAGGCTCTCAATGACACTCTTCCTGGAGAGAGCATAAGGGGAAATTTAAATGAATGTTTTTGTTTTGTGGTCTCTGAAATACTGTTTTTGGATGATTAAGTCACTATCTCACATGCATTTCAAGTGACTTGCAAAGGGGTCTCTTTTGACCCCTTCGCAATAGTAGTGTCTTTTTCCAACCCACCCTTCTAAGGCATAATTCCCTCCTTCTGCCATTGACCCTCCACTTCATGCCATTACCATCTTTTTAAATCCTCCATCTTTTAAGACTCAGGCACCAGCTCTTCAAGGAATTGGTTCCTGCTCCCACAAATCTGAAAGTATCCTTCTTTCCTAAGATCTCACATAGCACTTTATCTGTAGGCCTCCTTATCTTGAATTTTCTACTCTAGCTGAGGAGTCCTTTGTCTTACCTCCCCTGCTAGACTAGGGGACCCTTGAGGATAAGAACTGCATGTTGTTTATTTCTGTATGAACCATAGAAAAGCTGTACAAATGTTAGAATTTGTTGTTCTGTTTATTTAATTTTCAGGTTTAACATTTTTGGCCTCATTCCTTGCTGAAGAAAATCTTGCTAACATGTCTGAGTCTATGTTCTTGCCTTAGTAAGCAAAGCCTAATGTGTATAATTAAATCTTTGATTGCTGATGGTCATAGTCATAGAATCTTACGAGTTACAATGGTCCTAAAGGATATCTAGTCTATTTCTTACACAAAAACTATTTCTTACACAAAAAAATACTATAGAGGATTCCCTCTATAGTATTCCCAATTAGTAGTTATCCACTTCAAGACTTCTAGTGATGAACTCACTCCCTATGGAGAGAGCTCATGTTTAGGTAATCTGAAATCTGTCCCCCTATAACTTGAACACAGTGCTCTAGTCCTGCCCTCTGGGGCTATGAAGAGCAATTCTAATCCCTCTCCATATGAAAACCTACCAAATATTTGAAGACAACTATCATGCCTGCCCAACCTGCCACCTTCTCTTCTCTAGGCTAAATGTTCCCAGTTCTTTAAACCAGTCCTCCTTTGGCATGGTTTCTAGGTAACCCACCATTGCATATGCTTCTGTTTTGTCAATAACCTCCTAAATATGGCACCCAAAACCATGGCTTACATTTCAATAGTTCTTTAAAGTTTAAAACCCACTTTCACTAAAAACAACCTCCTATTCAGATAGGTGATGACAGTGGCCTCTTTCCCACTTTACAGAGAAAGAAACAGTGACTCAGATTGGTTAAGAGGGGCAATGACTTTCCTAAGGTCACACAGAGGTGAGTGGTAGAGTTAGAACTAAAACTCAGGACTCAACATCAATCAAGCCCAGTGGTCTTTCCATTGCCTCTTCCCATTGACTCACATTGCCTCCACATCAAGATTTTACTGTTCTTTTCACATTTATACCTGAATTTTACACAACATAATTTGTAGGCTTTCGCTACAAGTCAGAATTAGAATGCATCATAAAGAGGTATCCAGAATGCTGATATCTTTATCATGTATATTTTGCCAATTCAAGGATCTGTAATGAGTGGTATGACTGCTACTTCTCTTGATGCAGACTGAAACCCTTCTGTAAGCAGGGATTTTAATCCGCTGTTAGCAGGTAGTTTTTTTGTGAGCTGTTTTAATTTTTACAAAAAAAAATCTTCTGATCATTAACTTTTGGGGGATAAGCCCTCCCCAGCTTGAGTGTTATTAATCCTGGGACTGGTACAAGGGTGGCAACTCAGACCCAGGACTAGCTGGGATGTTTTACCTATAGGCAAGGTCATGATTAATGATTGGTTCAGTCCTGACATTAAAGCATCACTGCCACTAGTCAAAGGATAATTTTGGCCATATTATCATTGAATTTTATTCTCACTGGAAGAATATATATCTGTCATCCTTATGATTGGCACCCATGCTATAGGGAATATAGGTCAGAAGGTCAAGGGACACCCATCTTATTTCCTTCCATTCCCCAGGAACCATCAGACCACAGGACTCTGACTCATTCCCAGTCTGAATTTCATTCAAGCCAGAAGTCTAAGAAAGAACTCTGGAAGATTATTTTCAATCTTCTAAGACTACAAGTTCCTTTATTTTTCCATCTCTGTAATCATTCGGGTCTTATCAAACATTCTCTGCTTTCCCTCCAAGACAAGACTTCTCTACTAAATGTAGAACAGTAATCAAAGACAATGAAACAACCCCCATCAACAGTTAAAGAAACAAAATTCCCTGAGTTCATTGATTGATTTTTTTAAAGCTGTTTTGAAATCTTGCCTGAATAAAGGAAGGGCAAAGCAATATGTTTCATATGGTCTTTACATTTAAAAAAAAAAAAAGATAAAACCTGGTGTCTTTGCTCACTTTGTAAACCCCATGATTTATGTCCAAAGAAACTGCTGCACTCAGATTTGGTGGTTAATATATGAAAAAGAGTTTGACACAAAAAATTATTAATGAGTAGAACAAGGTCGCTGCTTCTGGGCTGAGGTCACTTACAAAGAATGCACAAATGAAAATAAGGTTGACTTTTATTTACTTAACTATCTTCTGACGGTGGATTCCTTTGGCAACAGATCTTTAAACATTTAAAGCCCTGTTTACAAGGAGGCTCTGAAAGTAGCTTCAAACCATTATGGCCCTAATTGAATTCCCCAGGAGTCCAGTAAACTCAGAGGAATAAAGAAAGAAATCATAACATTTGCTAAATCATCTCAAAACATATTTCACTGCAAGGTTATGTGACCTGTTTCAAGACTTGGCAATGAATGAGGAGGAGCTCCTGGATGCTTTATTGTTTAGAAAAAAGTCTAAACGTTACCTATTAGTGGCAAGCTAAGTAAATTGTACTAGGTTCTGCTTTTTTCAACAAAAAGAAGACAACAATCAGGGAGGGATAACATCTTCTATTGCATGTGACCCCTCTCCCCTAGGGTAGCAAAACTCTCAGAAAGAGAAGGGGTATTCCATTATAGGCAACTACTGTCTATAGAGGAAACAGTCATAGATGAAAACATCAAATAGTCTCCCTCCAAATGTCGTACCACCCTGTTACAACTGGGAATCCCAAAGACTTCTACCAGGGGACAATACTAAAAATACTAAAAATAGGACTTCTAGGAAGCAAAGCTTTATCTCTTGATCAAAACATAGATTGTTTTCCATATCCAATCAGTCCAACATTCTCTAATAGTCCCTAGCATAACTTGCAGCTAAACTTCTGAACATCGTATTCATTTCCACCCATCTCTTTTTTGAAAAACTACTTCAATGTAGTCTGACTTTCCCAAGCATAAAAGCTGAGTTCTTCTACCAGCATTTCTAAAGTAACTGCAGCAGGTCCCCCTCTGCTTACCTGGTTTGTACGGTATTCCAGAGGGAAAGAGGAATCCCTGTTGGGCAGCTGCAGCTGCCGCCAGTGTCCGCTGGTCGTGTGGAAAAATTGGGATCATGAGCGGAGGCATGTGACCCTGAACCTGCTAAACAGAAGACAGCCTATGATCAGACATAGTGCAAATATGTCTTGACAGGTATTTATTTCCCATTGCTTATAGAGATCCACGTGCTTCCACGGACACTTCTTCCCCTGCCCCTACTCAAATCTGCTCCAAACCCAGGACAGAGACATAACATCACATCCAACCCACCCAATATGGAAACCCAAGGCTGCCAAAGCAGGCAGAGGTGCTAGAGATCATGCAGTCCAGGTTTCCTTAATCTTGAATTCATAAACATTTTTTTTAATCTGGATAACTATTTCATTGAAATTATTTTCTTTTAATTCTATATATTTTATTTTATACATTTAAAAACATTATTCAGAGAAAGATTCCAGATTGTTAATGGGATCTATCACACACACACACACTTTAAGAACCCCTGTTCTAGCCCAATACCTTCGTTTTATACATGACAAAATAGAGGACTCATGAAGAGAGAGAATTCTTACTCTTTTCCTTCCATTTTAGGGAATTAACCACCTTTAGGGACTTATTTTTTCCTTATTAATTTAAGGGGCCCATCTGCTCTACCCCTAAGGTTAACACTCTATTTTAAGTTTATATTAACTATGGCAAGGACTGTTGCAATAGCCATCTTACTGACTTCCCTACCTCTTTCTACTTCCAGTTTGTCACTCACAGGGCTGTGTAAGTCATTTTCCTAACGCATAGGTTCTGACCACCTCTCCTCTCCCCCTAGATTCTAAATTCCATGAAGTCAGCAGCCATGTGCCATTTAAATCTTGCATCTCCCCACCTCACTCCCCAAAAAGATTATGGAGAATACTTTGCACATAGTTGTTAATCAATAAATATTTGTCAGACTGGAATTTGTTGAGAGTTCACTGTACGGCTTTTGCAAGGAAGAAGGGAAAAGTCCAAGTCGATTATTTCAAATTAAGCCAACAAGCAATGCACCTTGCATGTTCCATGCACTGTGCTAAGTGACAGGGATACAAAGAAAAGGCAAATAAATGAATAGATGAGAGACAGAAAGAAAGAGATAAATACATGATAATTTAAAGATAAATAAGTAAATACTGGATAGATAAAAGACAGATAAATACATGATAGGTAAAAGATAGATAAATAAATACATGATAGATAGCTAAAAGATAAATAAATGACAGACAAATAAATACAAGATAGATATAAATAAAAGACAGATCAATAAATACATGATAGATAGCTAAAAGATAAATACATATGACAAACAAATAAATACAAGATAGATATAAATAAAAATAAATACATGCCAGATAGATAAATAAAAGATAGATAAAAGATAAATACATGAAAGATAGATAAAAGATAAACAAATATAAGATAGATAAAAGGTAGAGAAATAAATACAAGAAAGAAAGAAAAAGAAAGGAAGAAAGGAAAAAAAAGAAAGAAAAAAGAAAGACAGGGAAAAAAAGCCCAGAGTCTGGATGTTTTTCCTTCCCATGTGTGGGTATCTTCCTGTCTTGAAATGTGGGGTCAGTGTCCTGGGTTGAGAAATGACGCTCAGTCAGCTGTTTGTTCTGTACTCAAAAGGTAGCATCTCTCCACCTCGGGTAGTTCACTGTACAACCTCACAACAGTACAGGCTTCCTAGAAATCCCTGCCCCCTTCTCCCCGCCTCCCCACCATGCTTCAGATTTAAGACCACCACATCTTGGCTCCCAATTAGACTAATATTCTCTGCTATACACACCTCGGTGTAACATATAAATTGCTTGTCTGTCTAAGCAGTTTTACAGCCCTGTGTACGATCATGTAGCTCAGTAATTATGGAGTTGTATTCAGAGAGCATTTCCGAATAAATCCTACTATATCAAATTTCATTTGACCTTAATAAATGTATCAAAGAGCACAAAAATGCAAAAGGAGAAAATTCTTCACCTTCTATCAGCATTTGTACGCTACATATAAAAAATGAGGGCTGGGGCGGATGAAAACCTGCCTCCTATAATATCTCTGCCTTTTCCCAACTTCTCTCTCTCTCTCTCTCTCTCTCTCTCTCTCTCTCTCTCTCTCTCTCGCTCTCGCTCTCTTTCTCTCTCTTTCTCTCTCTCTCGCTCTCTCTCGCTCTCTCTCTCTCTCTCTGGGACTGGAACCCAGTAGAATCCTTTGGCAAACATTTCTTGTCCTGATGCTGAGTAGCATTATGGGCCAGTTTCGATTCTAGCCTTCAACACCCTGATATCACAGAGTCAGCTTTTAATCTACTTTGATTGAAGAAAAGTAAACATTTAAAGAAACACATATCAAAACTAGGAAGTATTAAAAGGAATTACCAAGTCAAATCAAACAGGGTTTGTGCAGATTTCTTCTCTACTGTGAAAGGGAACCATTTACAGAGTTACCAACGTCACATTTAGAAGGGAGCTTCTAGTCTGACTCCTTAATTTTACAGATGAAGAAACTGAGGCTCTTAGAGGCTAAATGACTTGCTGGAAATCACCCAGGTGCCCCAAGAAAGGACAGAGCTGAGACTCATACCCACGCCTCTTGTCTACAGGTCATCCCATATCCTATTAAAAAGTCAAACTAAATGTCAAAAGTACTCCAACTCCCCCCCTACCCCTTTTAATTCCTAAACTTCTTTTTATTTTTTTTGGTCAGATCCCATATGTTGACCTATGACATTGTTTAAATAGTGCCAAATTTCCTTGTCATATCCCCACTCCTTCCACAATCACTGATGCAGTACAGAAATGCTACTGTGTGTGTCCATAAGGCTTAATTTACCAACAACTTTTCTCTGGGGAAGGCCCAAAGATGTAGGTTAATAAAGGTCAAGGGAAAAATAAACACTTTACAGTATTTTTCTGAATTCATTTCTCAGGAAAATCAACTTCTAATAAAAAGGTCTTTGTGCAATTACTACCTTGCCAGTGGGGCGTGGAAGAAACTAGCTTTCGGCAGCTATTTCTTTCATTTTAGCTGAGGTAAGTAAGCCCTGGCTTTTGACTGTTAGGAGTAACGGCTTGACTTGGTTAAATTGGCGCTGATCCCCCAAGTGCCCATTCCTGGCTTTTAACTCTGTGAAACAATGCTAGTGATGCTGCTGATCAGTCAGGGAGAACCCTAGGGGGGGCGTCTGGAGACCTGGGTTCCAGTCCCAGCATCACTACCTATTAGCTGTGTAAACTTGGGCTTCCATTCAATTTCCTTATCTCTAAAATAAGGGGGAAAGGGAAATCTAAATAACCTTTCAGGTTCCTTTAAGTTTCTGAATCCATAAAGCAAAAGGTATGGGCACATTTGAATGCTATCTGGTAAAAAGTTGGACCAAGTGGATACTTTGTTCCTTCTGGGGAGAACGAAATTCTGAAAAGAGAGGAGCTATAAAAATCATTTCTATACTGTCAACGCTTTGTGGCCAGAGGGAGCCAACCAAGGTTTAAGGTTTCTGTGCTACTGTATAAAGGACAGCTTTCATAGAATCCTAGACTAAAGACTGGAAAGACCCTGGGAAGCTATCTAGTTCAAATCCTTTATTTTTCAGATAAGGAACTTGAGACCCAGAGAAGTCAAAGACTTTGCCCAAGATCACAAAGACATTAAGAGGCAGAGCCAGGATCTGAACCTAAGTATCATACACACTCCTGATACTAGACCGAGGTGCTTTGCTGAAACATGGAATGTGAGAGCTGGCAGGGAGGTTTGGAAATCATGGTGTACGAGAATTGATGAAAGGCAGAAGGATGGTTAGAGGACTTGGGGGTGGAGGGAAGAAAAGGGGTATGATCACTGTCTTCAAATATTTGAAAGACTGTCATGTGGAGGAGGGAAGACCACTGACCTTTGACCCATAAAAGCCTGAATTCAAATCCCAGCTTTGCTCCACTCTAGCTCTCTGAACCTGAGCAAGTCACTTTCTCCTGAGGTCAGTCTTCTCACCCATAAAATCACAGGCCCGAATGAGATAACCTCTGATGTCCTTTCCAGGCAGCCAGGTGGTACCGTAGATAGAGTACCAGACCTGGAGTCAGGAAGACCTGAGTTCACATCTGGCCTCAGGTATTTATTAAGCTGTGTGACACTGGGTGGGCCATTTAACCTTGTTTGCCTCAGTTTTCTCATCTGTAAACTGAGCTGGAGAAGGAAATGGCAAACCACTCCAAGGGGGTCACAGAGAGTGAGACGTGACTGAAATGACTCAACAACAAGTGTCCTTTCCAATTCTAATAGTCTATGAGTGTAAGTTTATTTTAGATATTTCTAAAGGGCAGAACTTGAAGCAATGAGGGACAGGGACAGGCTGTCAGACCTTTGATTTTAACAAGGGATTCTCCTTTTTTTGTCCAATAAAGGACTTCCTTGTGTGGTTAGAAACTCCTCCACCCTGGAACTGTACAAAGAGAGGCCAGATGTCCACCTTCCAAGATGCTGTGGAAATAACTCCTACATTGGCTGGGGGGTTGGATGACATTCATAGATCCTCCCAACTCAGATTCTGGTGATTCAGAGACTCTGCATGAATACAAAGTAGCAATGGAATCATTAGGGACTTTAGAAGCAACAACACAAAATTATCTTTCTAATACATAACTATCTTAGGAAAGAACACCTGAGTGGATTTCAGAACTTACTTTAGCAAAAAGAGGCTTGAAACCAGAAATACTATTTTCTTCCAGTTCTTAGCTAATACTATGACTCGGCATCAATAAGGATGCCAAAGTTCATAGGCCACAGACTTTGAAAACGTTATAATGTTAAGGCCTAAATGTTATTTAGAATAAACTCTCAAACTTTTTTTGTCTTAAGACCTCCTTACTTTCTTAAATATTAATGAGGACCCTCCCTCACCAAAGAATTTTGTTTATGTGGGTGATAGCTATTTTCTCCCATAATAGAAATTAAAATGTCTTGGTATTATGACGAAAATAGTTTTGACTTTTGGGACCCCCTGAAAGGGTCTTGGAGAACTCCCTGGGGATTCCTGGACCATACTTTGAGAACCACTAATGAGGGCGGGAATGGCG